AAGATGAATTAATCTCTACAAATTTAATCATTATCTCTTTTTTTTTGAAAAATTTAGCTAAAGTAAATCAATTGTTTTGAAGGTGTAGAAATTTCAAGATTTACATTCAAACACCAACCAAAATTAATCTAGATCAAATAATCAATACAACATGATGAATTCTATATTGACAATTTGATTTGACTGATACACAAATAATCCAACGTGGACTGATTCATATAAAAATTATTTTGTCTTAGTGACATTATACTAAACAGAAGATAAGCACGAATAGAATGAATAATCATTGATTATTATTAATATTTATTTAAATTTCGAGACGTGAGAATATGACTTTTTTTTTTAGGAAACTAACATCAATATTAGTACGTGTATTCTCTTATGTTGAACTAAGAGATAGAGAGATAATTATTCTAAATGCACATAGAAGAAAAAGAGATAGATATATAATAGGAGAAATTTAAGCTTATTTTTATATCATATCTAATCATTTTAGATCTTCATTTCGGCATTATTGACTTTGTGATATATATGTAAGTATTATTCGAAGAATTTTTAAAAAATCTTAATGTGAAGTTATTTTTTTTTCTAGAGAGAACCTATCGATTACGAATAATATGGAAAAAATTGTTCAACAATTACGAACTGAAGCTAATATTCAACCAATAAAAGTATCGCTAGCATGCAAAGATTTAATTCAATACTGTCAAAATCACGAACATGATGATGTACTTGCACGTGGCTTCGACAAAACTCCAAATCCATACGCCATGAAAAAAAACCCATGTGTTCTCATATAAAAATCGAACATCTTATTAATAAAATGATTACTTTATTCTCTTGCTAATCATTTCTATTTGTTTGAAAAATTACATCTGTGAACATATATTTATATTTATTATGCTTTTTGTTTTAAAAATTATTTGTGAAGAAAATAAAAGTTGAAATTCATTTATAATTCGAGTTATTATTCTGAGGAAGACCATATCCTGCTGCATTAGATCGTTGCTGATTATTAACTGGCATATTTCTTCCATCCCAATCATCAAACCAACTATCGATTCCACCTAATAGAATTTTTACTATATACTATAAAATAAAAAAATATAGAAAATTCTAAGATAAAAATCAAGAATAACTTACATCACCGAAACTGAATGCCATGTTAGTACCTCGACAAGCTTGAATTTGTTTTCTTTCACTTCGATAATCATCAACAACATCGAGATTTGGAATTTTTTTATCCCAATCATTCAAATATGCCATAGATTCATCGTCATCTAAAATATTTTTTTTATAAAATATCAATTGATTTACTCGAATATTTTTATTTTACCTGTACAAACAATAAATGTAACTGGAATTTGATTTGTAGGTTTACGTTCATTTTTAAGAACATGCTCTAATGTATGAATATCTGTACGTTCTCGTTCATCTGTTGGTACCCCATCAGTAGCTATGAGAACAAGTAAGTTTCGTTCATAGATTTGATTACGTTTATCTTTAAGGACTTGTCGAAGAACAGGTACGATTGGTGTTGCACCTAAAATTTATTTAAATTGAATTATTGATGAATAATTTAATTTTCTATTTACCTTCTGGATCCATAGCAAAGACAATCTCTAAGTCTGATGAATTACGTACATTTAACATTGGTTCACGATTAAGAAAGTAGACGTCAACACCATCTGTATCAAGTATACTAGCTAGTTCAACAACAATTGATACTGTTTGCTTCAGTTCATCCCCTAGAAAAAAAAACTAATTTTAAAAAATTCTTACAGTAATATATTTAAATCATACAACGTGTTCTTTGATTTTGTAATGGATTGGTATTTTCACCTGAAAAATCAATGTATTCATACATAGATTAAGAAGCATATAATCTAATAACTCACCAATGGGTGCAGTCATTGAACCTGAGTCATCACAGATAAAAACAATTTCATAACCTTTAAGTTTATGTAATCTTTCAGCAAAACTTGGACTAACTAAATAGATAAACATATTTGTAATGCATATCTTACAAGATATACTTACTTTCGTAACGATTGACAAATTGATCAAAATTAGGTGAGCGTTGTTCATTTGATATCGGATTATTTTGATTTGAACGATTATCATTGACAACGGATTGATAAGGTGGTGGTGGAGCTGATGGCTGCGACTGATTGTATGGATTCATTCTATTAACAATATATAAAATGAGTAACATTTATTCATACGTCAATAAAACAAGTATTTGCGTCAGAAGAACGCAAAAGATAAATAGAATACGTTACAACGGCAAGTAACTGCTAGTATAAAGAAGAAAAATAATTTTGTTTTTTTATTGACTCTTTTTTATGAATAAAATTCGAATAATTTTATCTAATTAAAATTTAGAAGATCTTCCGATTTTTTATTAACTCAAAAAAAAAATTCTATCAACCGTTCTAATTGCAAGTGCAAATATCTCTCGATTATATATTTCGTTGCTTATAGACGATACTCACTTTTAAATAATATTATATTCGAATAGAAAAAGTGATTCACCCATTTCAATATTTGAGATTACCATAGCCATAGCACTTACCTTCAACTATCCAGTAAAAATTTTTTCCTATTTATGTACGAAAGATAAGGACATCTGCAGTACATAATGTAAGCGACGACTTTTTAAATAGTTTTAATATTTCTATATTAAAATTCGATCTTAATTCGTACTACACAATTGATTGATTTCATTTTTAAAACGACATATTTTATATAATTTCTTGTTTTGAATATATTAGAAAAATTTATCGAAATATATCAATAAACAATGTTACACTGATGAATGATTTTTAAAAAATTTCCAAATACTTGTAATAAAGAATATTCAAAGATAAAAATAAATTCTAGAGTTTCAGTTTTTCATACTGTTGAATTTCTCTGTAATAAATATTCTAAATTTCAATGATAGATAAAATATAACGTTTATAATATCAGTTTTATTAGTTTTGATTCTCATATGTCATGGTTATTTCACGTGAAAACACATGATAAATATTCAAATATCTAGATACAGTCAATATAGATATTTATCTATATCACGACTCATGACTTAACAAAAAATAAGGTAGAATATTTTTCTTTACTTCTGAATTTTCATTAAATCATGTTAATGAGAATATGCGCAGTTACATATCGCTTTTGATAAATCATGCGTATACTCTCGGAAGTAGAAATAGGTATTTAAAATCGATGGTTTGAGCAATGTGCATACATTCCGTATTCAATTGAAAAACAAACAGGTAACGTGTGGATTATTTTTTCTTTAGGAAGATGAATTATAGACGATTTCTGTGCTTTATTGTCTTGGCAATATGTTTCATTAATATGAACGCTGCTCGACAGATTTATGCAGACAAGAGTGATGCTTTAACACAACAGCTTATAGAAGAGACAAAGAAAAACCTTGGTTTGGATATTGATCAATCGAAAATTCAAGTCATCAAGCCATCAAAGGAAAATGATGATATTATTGTCAGTGTTCCTTTAGTTGATATTGTAAAAACAACTAGCGATGAGATTAAACAAAATGACATTTATGTCAGTTACCAATGTATGGATACAGAGAAGTTAAAAGGTTGTTTTAAAGTGAAATTAACAAATGTCAATGAGAAAGGAGCAGAATTTGCATTGGTAGATAATGAAGGTAATACAATTGCTACTGCTACTACTACAGCAAATCCACCTGAAAGCAATAAACAACGCGCGTGTATTGAAGTCTACGTCAATAATGTATATCGTGGTTGCTACGGTACTGTAATTATTGTAATAACATCACATAGTGTAACTATCTATGGTATAGATAAATGAAATAAATTATCTTAATTTCAACGAACAACACATACATTCTTTTAGTTAGTATTTCACAGTTTAATTATTGCTCTTTTTTTCATATTTTATTTTTATTTTCTCAAATAAATCAAATTTTTTTATCAGACATAAAATTCAAGAATTTGTCTTTAATAATTAGCAATCACTTCTCTATCCTATATACAAGGCTAAATAAATACTGATTTTTAACATATTAAATATTTATCAAATCATATCATTTTCAACACTTCAGTTCAATCGGCGAAGAATTCTTACTGCTCTACATCATTCATTTAGATACTCATGAAACAGAATATATACCCTTGAAAAAATTAAAGTTTAAAAGATATCATTTGTTTTGTAACAATAATAATAGAAAAGTCTTTTATTTTTCTATGAATAGTATAGAAATTATTTTCATACATGAATCACATATGATATATTTCACATGTTTCTTGTCGTGATGTATTCTCGTCCGTTTGTTTATTTTGATTAATATGTGCATTGAAGCATAATAATATTATTTTTCTATCAACCTATAAGAAAAAAAAAAATTAAACTACACTTACCTGTCACATGTTTTCTCGTCAATGATCGGTTAAATTGAATATATTTAACTATCACTTCGTTTTTCAGAGATATGAATCATAATCAAGCAAATTTCTTGTATTCATTAAAACCATTGACATCCATTCAATTACCGGACAATTCACAAATAATAACAACATGTGAAATTAAAGAAATTTATGATAAAATTATTCAATTACAAACAAAAATTACTAATAATGTTTCTCAGTGGGATACAACTGAACGACAAGAATTTTGGTTATCTATTATGGATATATGGATTGAATTAACAAAGCAAAGTGCTGCTATTACTTATAATAAATTATATCTTTTAACTGATTGTTTTAATAGAATATCAGCCTTATGGCAGCAGTGCGTGGAATCGAAATCAATTATTGATATCAATGATAATTACACTATTGAAAAAGCATTTTCATCTTGTTTAATGATGTTAGATACATCTCATATTTATAATTTTCTATATAAAATTGATGAAATATCAAATGAAACCATTATTCCATTTAATGTTCATCTTATTTTATCAGTTTCTAGTTATTTTGCTCGTTATCTTTCATCGAATCATAGTTGGATATTTAATGATCGAATGGGAGTATTAATTACATTAATAAATTATGTAGAACAAAGAATAAAATTAATTAAAACACTTTCAGGATCGATTGTTGAATGTATTATAAATCTTTTTTGGAATCTTAGTGATCGAATATTTTTAGTACCAATATTAGTTAAGATTAATCTACCAAAGAATATAGTAAATTGGTTATCATATTCATATGAACATTGCGTATCATTTATTTCGATAATACATAATTTATCACGTCATGATGAAGGAGTTGATGCACTTAATAAATGTAATACGATTGAAATTATTAAAAATTATCAACATGAGTATGTAAAGATTTTGTTCGTATGATAAAGATAAATTTTTGAGATTTATTTTTGTATAGAAAATCATTTATGATAAATATGGAAAGATTATTATTAATATCGATGATTTTAGCACAATTATCTTCACCTGAACAACTTAAATGTGATAAAAGAATTATGAATGGTGTATTAAATGAATTATTACAACGAACAATGAATGCAGCAAAAAATGAAAGCTTTTCGGATGATACTGGTTTTCATATTAGTGAATTTTTAGCTGTTATGGTGAAATTATTTGTTGTAGAAGAACGTACACTTGATTATATATTATGTCATGCTGAAACAGAACCATCATCAGATCTATCATCAGTAATTCAATTATTTACTTCACTTCTTATGTCATTTAATGATGCATTAAATAAGCAAAATCAACTTGAACAATTAACATTAATTATAATTGTTAATATTCTATGGAGTATTTCATTTCAAACACAATATCTTCAAGAATTAATAATTAATAATAAAGAAGCTCTACTTATTATTGAAAGCTTAGCCGAGAATAATAATAAAGAAATAATTAATCAATATAAACCTCGGTCAATAGAAAGTATACATGTTGCTGCTCGTGGTATAATTCATAATATTCAAAAATATTCGGAATCTCATACTGTATTAAATCATATACAAAATGAAATATCTAATAAACAATCAATAAAAAGGTACGTATATACTGGGGGCAAAATTAGAATCTGGTGAGGGTGCGAGTGAATGTGTTCGTCGATATTCCCTGCATTTAACACCCACATCCACATCTACATGCACCCACCAAAATCCACCCACATCCACATGCACCCACCCAAACCCATACGCACGCACCCGCCCATATCTACATGCACCCACCCACACCCTCCAATTTTGCCCCCAATATATACAATTGTTTATCTAGCTAGAATTATATATTTCTTTTGTAGAGTTAAACCATCTGTAATGATAAGTTATTCGCATGATAATAAAAAATTTTGTGATAAACTTGTTAATTTTTTATCAACTAAACAAAATGTGTTTGATATGTGGATTGATCATATGAATTGTCAAACAGCTTCTGATCTTTGGGAATCAATTGCTATTGGAATAGAACAAGCAAATGTAATTGTATGTCTTATATCAAATTATTATTTTGAAAGTAAATCATGTCGTCAAGAATTTGTCTATGCAACAGATACACTTCATAAATTAATTGTTCCTGTTCTTTTAGAAAAATTTAAACCTAAAGGATGGTTAGGTATATTGGATGATTGTCTTTGATCTAATGCGATTGAATATATATATATGTTTTCAATTATAGGTATTCGAATTCCTGGTATTAAATATGTACGTTTTCAAAATATCGAAGAGTTAGATCAATTAAAGTTGATGGATTTATTAGATACAATTCAAGCAACTCTTTCATTAACTATGTCTTCTATTGATAATTCATCTACACTTCAACAGAAAGAATATTATGAACCAACAGCATCATATTTACATACAGTTCCTACTTCTAATCATCGACTACGAATTAATCAATGGTTATTAGCATCAAAGGATGATATTGAAGCATGGTTTTCTCATCATCACATTTCAACACAATTATGTGATCTTTATGATTTTCAAACAGGTCAAGAAATGCTTCTTTATGGTAAACAACTTATTCAAAATTATGAGAAACATTTAGATATCTATTCAAAAGCATTCATTAAAAAATATAATGGTGATGAATTACTTCCACATGAATTTCAACGATTTATGGAAGCTATCAAAGAATTACTTGAAAACAATATGACATCTGTTATTTCTTCTTAATAGTAAAATATACTAAGATGCAAAAGTCTTTGCCCTTTGCATAAATTAACTTTTTGCATGCATATCTCGGAAAGTTTTTCAAGAGATTTTTCGAGAACTTTCTACAAGGTAGGATAAGATCTTCATATAACTATGTAAATAACGAAATCGATCGATACTGGCGCTTGTAGGAAGATAATAAATCTAAATTTGAGGGGTGGGTGGGTGTGAATGTCGATCATTCGTTTTCCAGATTGATGTTCTCATCCACACCAACACCCCCGTCCACTTCCTTAGCCTCTCACAGACACCCATTCCAATTGTGCACGGATTTTTCAGCCAAGCATCAACAATTCTTGGTTTGCTCTCCTGGTGAAAGAAAATTCTGTGTTGTCCTTTGTTGCTGCACTTAAGAACAATTTGAAGAAAAAAAACGTGCAGCTCTTCATTGACGACCATAAAAAAAAGCAGGGAGGAATGAGTTGAAAAAAAGAAAAGACAAAAATTTACATAGAAGTAGTTGCGCTTTTTCTCTCATCAAGTAATACTTATTCTTGTCACATTACGACATAGCAACTACAACACGCAGTATGGACAAAAAGAACCTTGCGACAACGAGCAGCACTACTAATGAGAAGAAGGACGAAAAAGTGCTAACTGTTTTAGAAGGGAGCACTGCTATGAATCCCTCGTCATCAAAGCAAGTAACAACTGATCAGTCGATTAGCGATGCATCTCAAAATAAAATCAAAAGTTTATCATCGACTACTTCTAGCGAAGGTATGAAAAAAGAATGATTATAGTTGTATGTTAAGATGAAGATTCTCGGGATTGGCTATAGAAACTTGAGTATCGACTAAGCAACGTTATATCTTGGTTTTTGTTTTCGCATTCGCGAACTAAAATTGTGAGTGGTGAGCATCATTTAGAGTGAGGCTTCAGAAAGGAAACGATCGGCAACCACATTCATCTACTAGATACATAGTCATCATAAGACTGTGTCCATTAAATGATCATAATAGACTACTGTTAGTTATACTAACGTCGTGTTACTTGTCAGTAATACATGTTGCTCTATTTTTTTCAGGAACCGAACAAACATCGATAAAGCAAGTGCCATCAAGGCCAATACATATGCAAATTGCTCAAAACTTTCTTCTCATCTGGCTTGATTCGTTGATTGATATAAAGAATGACCGCTGTGAACGTTGCCTGGCGAGATTACGACGAATCGTTAATACAACTAAAACATTCACACATGCCGATGAATGTGTCATTTTTATCAACGAACATCAAGATGAAAATATTTTCATAATCACATCTGGATCTCTTGGGATTGATGTCGTGCCACGCATCCATCATATGTCACAAATTGACTCCATTTATATATTTTGCGGTGATAAATCTGAACACGAACAATGGACTCATGAGTGGACAAAGATAAGGGGTGTTTTTACCGACATAAGACCCATCTACAAAATTTTGCAACAACACACGCGTCTGTGCGATCGAGACTCAACATCAATTACCATCACAAATGCTCAAAATTCGGATGAATTAAAACCCACATTTATGTACACCACACTGTTTAAAGAATGCATTCTAGAAATTGAATACGATAACGATGAAATCAGTAAATTGGCAAACGAATGTCGTACACTTTATCAGGAGAATGACAAGGAATTAGAGATCATCGATGAATTTGAAAGTAAATATTATGAGCATAG